ACATTTAATCAGAATCTGGAGGCCAAGTTCTCTAGATATCTGAAGTTAAAATTTGCAATTTTGAGTTTTTAGTCTTTACTGGAATCAGTGAATTACTGTATAAGACAGCAAATTATCCAAAAGGAATTGCTTTGGGAATATAGGTTGTGATCTGCTGATACAATTTTACACAAAGTCCTTTTGTGAGCACAAAATAATTGTGCAGAGAGYAATAACTTGTCTCACAGTGCATTAGCAATGCAATATTATTTCTATTTTATAGATGAGTAAAATGAGACRGAGCTCAGTGACTTCAGTGACCCACAGGAAGTCAGTGACACACCAGGAATAGCAGCGAGACCTCTCAGCAGCTCAGTCCCATGCTTTAACCACAAGCCCAGCCACCTCCTTCCCATCTCAGACTAGCACAACTCCCAGCCTTGGTTGCATCAGCTCCTAATTTCAGATGTCTAAGCATGTATAATTGTAGAAATCTGGATTTCTGAAGTTGAGTAAATGATGTTCATAAATCCGTCGTAGCTCAATCACCCAAGAAATTGAGATAAACTGGTTTTAAATGAGGCTCAAAACGACCTTTTGGTTGCTTTAAAAGGATTCCTTCAGAAATAAATTTGGGATGGATTAACATATCTGACAGATAGGAATATATGCTTGAGCTCTTTATTCCATATATTCTTTTGCCTGCTAACTATGTGTGATGTAAAATTTGGGCCCATTTGATCAAAATGGGATTGGAACATGAGCATCACATCCAATTACAGAAGAACCAGRCAGTCCTAGAGAGGAAGTTATTCCCTTCAGGATGAAATCAGACAAATCAAGGGCTGGGGAGAGACTAAAGATCAGGAAAAACCCATTGTAATCAGGGGTAGGCAGGCTGGTGTGATCCTGGCTTTAGTGAATTTAAAGCAGGCACTGTTTGGATTTTGTTCTCTTTTCATCCAAGCCTTGAAGTTCAGGCAAAGGAGGTGCATTTTTGAAGGGGTTCTTGTTTTGACCCGCTCTGCAGTYACCCGTGAAAAATCTGCATCACGCYTGGTGCTATCCCTCCTGCTGGAACCGAGGAGAAATTCACCCAGGGACAATCCTCCACCACAACTTACAGAAAGGCAGTTTACACTCTCAGTTTTACCATAAATCTGTGTAAAATGCKACTGATAGCAGCTGAAACTTCTGATTCCCTTTGACTGAAAAGTGCGTACATACAGAATGTGCAAGCTGAAGATAGGAGTGTGCTGTGATATTATGACTTGCTTTTTAAAAACATGCCTTCCCAGAGCAAAAAGTGCCCATAAAGACAGAATAAGATATGCTAAGGCAAATAAGATATGCTTTTTATCAATAAAAGGACACCAGGGATATGAAATAAAATATTACATTACCCAAGAGAAAGAACACAGGGTAATTTAAAAAAGACAGTGATACAGTACATTTTTAACTTATTTAAACTCTATTCCTTTAAACCAATGCAATTTGCACAATCAGAACTTGCTGCTCAGGCTGTCAGATTTATGGCTGCACTGTCAGAGTAGGAGATTGCCCTCTRGATGTTAAAAGTTTGGCTACTTTGCCATTCTCTCCCAGAATGCCAGGATGGGATGAACGCATGACTGGGGATTTTAAACTTGTGTAATGCACCCAGAGACTGAGAGCACAAACACGGGGAGATGTAAAAAGTAARTAAAAGGTGGAATTTGTGTGTTTTTAGAGATGGGAAGAGATATAAATGTGTCACCTCTATATCCTTGTTATGTTGCTACCCTTTTCAAGCCAATCATAAAAATCACAGCGTCACTGAGAGTCTCCAATACATTTGTTTTTCTAACCATAAACATCTACCTGGAATTCCTCAGGAATTGTTGCACAGAAATTAATTCACTAAGATGGAAAAGAGAAATGAAACTCTTCAAGGGAGGTTATTTTGTCATTACCAACACCCTTATCCATCTCAAGATTCTACAAAGTGCTCATTTCAGTTTCTCATCTCAGTGTGACTATTTTTGCCATATGATTCAATTTAATCTGCCTCATATTTTCTGAACAATGAAACTAATAATGTACAGTCAGTCAGTAATAAGTGCAAGCAGAAATAATTTTTTTTCAGATGCAATAAATGCTTCAAAAAGACTTACCATGAAAAGCTGAATGATTAAAATTAATATAAAATGCAATTCTTTCACATGAAAAGAATTAACTAATGCTTTTATACCCAATAGGAAAAACAAAGCATAAYTGATCTCCTGTGAAGGCAAATTATCTTCTAATTTTAAAAGTAGAACTGATGCTGAGAAACTCTTTTCTGCTTCTCTTTGAACTTAGGGAAGAAGTGCCCATGGYTCAGGAAGGCCTGAGCCTGACATTTCATTCTTGTTTCATAACTCTTAGAGGTCCCAGCCAAACTTAGGAATTCTCTCAGATAAGCAGGGGAGAAAGGATCTGTCTGGATCATCAAAAACTGCACAGTCAAACAATGCAAACAAAAGCTTACGAGAAACTGATAATTTCTTTATTATGACCATTTCATTACTTTGTGAAGCAACTTGATTACACAATAGATAATACAGTTGTAGCCTATTTTATTTCTTTACTAATACAGAAATGAATGGCTTTCTGAGGGAAAAAAAACAAAACACTCTTTGTTAAGGAAAAACAAATTAATTCAAATTTTAAATAAAGCATACTTTTAATTACCAAAGCAAAAGGTATGGGTTCTTCATCTCTTGATTTTTCAACCTAAGATTAGCTGTCTGTCTAAAAGAAATATTTACTGAGATACCAATCCTACCTAAAAATCCATATTGAGCAGGATATCAGAGTAAGCAATTTTTTCCTTTCCAATCTCAATCTGCTAAAATACATATTTACAAAACCTGAGTAATTTGTACACAAGCTATCATTACTGTTTTTGCTTTATATTTTACGAGTTCTGTTCAAAATATGAACTTGCTAAAGAAAACAATGTTTAGAACAGAAACAGACSGATAGTGTGTTTGCAATACTCCCGTGAAAGCTGTGTTTGGCTGATTTCTCTGCACTGAGTCAGATATGCCTGTCTCACCCGCGCAATTTAATTAAAATCCAAACTGGGCTTTGTATTCCTGCCTCACTTCTGAACTTATGAAAAGTCTAGGCTCAAGGCATGACTGCATAGTCACAATTGGCTGTTATCAATACCTGCCAATTTGTGGAATGCTTCCAGTTGCATGGAGTTTTCAAAAAATGCATTAAAACCTTGGTTTTTGGGAGGGATCTCTATTATTCCGACATTTAAACTAAAGGGAAAAACCTTCAGCAGCTCACACCGAGAGCAGCAGTTCTCACCAGAGCTAAATCAGAACTCTGTGGAGTGTTCAGCTCAAATACTTCTTTTAACTTTCTATTGAAATTCTATCTCAGCTATTCCTGTAAAGCAGTAGAAATATTAATAAATGAGGTATTTAAAACCTCTTATTGTTAAGATTATTGTACCCACATTTGCCTCTTTGTTCATCCATGGTAATTCTGAGGGTTTGTTTTACTTGTTTTCAGGACCTGGCTTCTAGTTCTGAGCCAAGGTATTACTGGAATAGGTATTACTGCAGCATGTTAAAATAATTTTTAAAATACCCAACCCAAACAATAAAAAATAACCACTTGAAAAAAAATAGTCCCCATTTCCAGGGCTGAAAAATTTAGATGAAAGCGCAAAAGCAGGAATTGAAAAAGATTCCTTGATCTGTCAAGGCAGAGGTAACACCTCAAGCCTGTACAAATAGACAGATAATTCTCATAAAAATTAACACATGGCTTCAAGCCTCTGCAGACAGAGAGATTGTTCTCATAAACAAAAGGCTGTAGGCAAAGTTAGTATCTGTAGGCAGTCCAGGTATTTTGACATGTTCAACCCTAATCTATAAATTGCCTTCAGTATACAAATAATAAAGCAAATGTGGGCTCTCTTTCAAAAYGCTTGATGACTAAGAACCATAATGAGGCAAATTTGGGATCCTCTCAACCTGCCAGTGATGTCCAAGGGATCAGGAGTTTTTCAAGATAAACTGTTGTATCCTGGGGCACCTGGAGCTCCAAAATGACTCTCCAAAGCCTGTTGATCTTATGCCTTTTTTTTCCCCCATCTGACTTCTTTTTCAAAGCCTCAGAGGCTGAGATAGAGGAGGTGACAGGCTTGTTGGGGCTTGCTGCCCCTGTAGAGGTACCGAACACAGCCTATACCGCTCATCTCCGCATTCCTGGGAGGGGGGGAGAGCGCCCACAGATAATCTCAAAAATTGTCTCGAAAAGAAAAAAGAGAAAGATTTTAAGTTCTCACTTTTCTAATTGGGAATTAAAAAAAAAATCTGCCAAAAAAAAAAAAAAAAAAAAAAAAAAAGGGGAAAATAATGTGATTTACCTCTGTTACTGCTAAGAACCTTTTCAGAAAAGCCTGCACTCCTGTCACAGCAGGACACGGCCTGACGTGAGGTGACCCAGCCAAACCACCCAGCGCAGAGCGGAGCTGGCTGGAGAATGGGAAGGCAAAAGAGAAAGCAGTCAGCAGCCGGAAAAAGTGAATTTTCAGTTACGGGAGATTACAGGGAGCAGAGATCAAATTCCAGCTCCGCTGCGGGGCCCGCGCTCTGCCCTCAGGTACAGGCGGGTGATGCCGCTSGGCGGCCGCGGGCCCGGAGGGATCAGCCGGGCTGGGGGGACCGCCCGAAGGGGAGAGGGAGGCAGGAGCCGCGGCGCCTCCTCCTCGTCCTCCTCACKGCCCCGCTGCCTCTCCGTGCCGCTGTTCTGCCCCGTCCGTGTGGCTGCGCTGCCCCGCGGCTGTCCCCATCCCCACCCGCAGCTCCTGAGCCGAGCCCACCCAGCCTGAGCCCAGCCCACCCCTGTCCAGCCCGGCCCGCGCCCCCTCAGCCCCGCTGCCCGCTCCGCTCGCAGCGCCCGCCGTGGGCCGGCGGGAGGCGGTGCCGGCGGGGGAGGCGGGCCCTGCCCGGGAGGACGGGCCGAGCGGGGGAGTTTATCCCACTAGAAGGGAACAGTTTCTCCCGCTGAGACTTGACAGCGCCAGGTCAGTGCGGGCTGCGGGGCAGCGTTCCCCGAGGTGAGGGGCCGGCGGGGCCGCGGGGCAGCGCGGGCTGAGGGAGCCGCGGGCTGTGAGGGCAGCGCGGGCGGGAGAGGGGCCGGCGGGGCCGGGGCTGCCGGGCTCGGGGCGGGCAGGGTGTGGAGCCCCGGGCCGCCGGGGATGCTCGGAATGCCGGGCGGGACGGCGGCTCCGTGGAGCGGGCCGGGGTCCGAGGCCGTTCCGGAGCGGGGCACAGCGGAGCGCTCGGCGCGGCCCCGGCGGCAGCGGGGCACAGCGGAGTCGCGGGCGGTGCGGGCGGGATGCGGAGCCCGGGGCAGCCCCGCTCGCTCCCAGCGCGTCCCGCAGCTGCCGGCCGGGCCGGCCCGGGCGCTGTGTCCATGGTGCTGCACCGGGCGGGCGCGGAGCCGGGCGGCGGGGGATGCTCGGGGGCTGGAGGGGCCATGCCGTGCCCTAGAGGGGCCGAGGTGATGGGCACGGAGGATGGATGGAGCCGCTGCACGGGCACAGCGCGGGGCGTCCGTTCTGCCGTGCCAGGGGAAAGCACCGCCAGGGCACTGCTGGGCTCACCTGGCTCCTCTCGTAATGAATGAACAGCATTTTTTTTTTTTTGTTGTTTTCAATTTCCCAATCGCATAAAGTCGGGGAGCCTTTCAGAGCCTGCAACAACTAAGATGCTATGTTGAAATATATTGTGTCTTGATGGCATGCCTCAGGTTCGCAGGAGCGTTTTGTAATCTTCCTGGTGTCATTTCTCCCCAGGGTATTCTGCAGCTAGAGAGTGCAAGTTCCTGTGGTGTTGTAACTTTGTGGCACTGTGTACACACGACAATGCTATGCTGACTTAACAGGGATGCATTTATTAATATCAGTGACGTAAGGCTGGTATTTATCGTGATTAAAAGCTCAGGGAATAATCAATTTCTGGGTGTACTGCGGAGTCTAGGTTCCTTTAAATCAGATAGATCAATTATAATTCTCCTTGAAGTAACCAGGGGTTTGGGTTAGCCTTGTATTTGTGACTTGCTGCCCCAYCTCTGAACAAGCTTTTGCTGTAGAACATGATCATAAGGTTCCATTTTTAAATATCTATTTTCTGGTAGCAATTAGTCCATAATTTAATAAGTAATTTACCTTTTAAAAGGTTACTATGATTTGTTACTAGTTAACTAAAAATTCCCAGTGTACACCAAGCGACTGTGATATATGGTACTCAGAGATCTCCTTTGAAAAGAAGTTTTATATGGTGTGCTCTCATTAATATCAGAATTTGGTGCATAAATTGATGTATTKGACATCATTATTCTGTTTGGCTGTCACAAAAAAAAATTGCTGCAAAAATTGCTTAGAGATTTAATTATGAGATTACAAGAAATCACTCCTAGAAGTGTGTTAAGGCATGTGGCACAATATAAGCATGGGCTTGTCAAGGGGTGAGAGAGCTGAAAAAATAATTGGCACTGACTTTRAATGATAACCAATCAGAAATATAATATAAAGGTATTTCTACGCAAACAGCTTCTAAATTTGAATGTTTTTAGGCATCAGTTTTGTATTATACCTTACTAACTGGTGGTGGTTCAGAGATTCTATACTTCTAAACAGCCTTAAGAAGGTCTGTGTTTCTTAGAAATGCCTCAATGCCAGTTTCCTAGATAATGCAATATATTAAACATTAGCATTCAATGAAACTTCCATTATAACATGGAATATACAAATAATTTTTTCCCAATATAAATTTGTATTTCATACAATGAATTCTCAATTGAAGGCAATGAAATATTAGAATTAAGAAGAATGTTGAAGCTATGCCTTTTAATCTTCATTATGGGACTGATAAAGATACCCATTTTCAACAGTGTTTCTGAATCTGACTCTTCTGTGGATTTTTTWAAATAACTATAAGTCCATTTCTAAGTCAATAAAATTAAACTAGGCACAGCTTCAGTTACTTCAGTATAATTTTCTACTTAMAGTAATGGCTAATAAAATTAACTTTGAAAAAGTTTTATTGTAAAAACAAAAGAAAGTTTAAAAGTAGAACAAAAACTCTGTCTTGTCCAAAGATGGACAAACTCATGAAAAGCAAACTYAGTACTTTTTTTTCACCTTGATTGGTGAGGCCCTCTCCAGATTTCTTTTTTACATGTAACCTGTTCAGAGTGGAGTTGAATATCTTTACTGGCCCTTTTTAGAAGCCTAATTGTGAATCACTAATTGTGCGTGTTTGATATTCAGAATCTGAGTTTCTTTTACAAGCTTTTTCACAAGGATTGTTCCCATGTCCTCCTCTGTCATGCAGTAAAAATTTCAAGTGCAGTTACTCAAGAAGAATCATCCTACAATTATAAATTCTCCATACTATGTCCTATTGAAGTCATGCTACAATGTTTTCCACTAGTTATTGCTACTAGTTTAATTTTTTAATCACTAATAGGTTTCTTAAATCCAGCATGATATTAGRTGATAAGTGCTAATTATTTCACACTGTATTTCCATAATGATGTGTAGTTTTTTAACAGCGGGGATATGTTTTCCAGGTACTTTTTGCCAAAAGTTCTTTGTGCGTCAGTTAACTTTTTATGAACTAGCAAAAGTAAGAGTTTGAAATAATCCRAAGCAAGAGAACATTGTTGTACTCGAGTCCTACCTGCTCGAGCCACAAACAGAACTTGGGTGTTCCCATTAACAGGTCAGCTCTTAAGAACTTCATTTACAGAGTATTGGGGAAAAAAATATTCCTCCTTGTCCCCATCATTTTCCCTGTAGAGGCTTTTCCAAGGCAGAATGAAAAATGAAAGAGCCGTAAGATTTATCTTCAGATTCTCAGGAATATGAAACRTAAATTGATTCCTACATTAAATGATAAATCTCTTACATTCCTTTTATCTGTTCCTCCTTCCACTTTTTATTTTATTTTATGCAAAGGAAAGATTCCAGAGATATTTTTCCAGTTGTGCTTTTGTTTTGCATGTAGAGTAGCCCATCTTTTTTCACTTGTACTGCTTTCAGCTCCCAGYGACAATGTAGAAAATGCTGGTGCTAAGCAAATTATCACCCTGGTACTCACCCTGTGGTGAGCGGGGCTTGGGTTACTCCCTGATCTTGCAGGTAGAAGGAAATAGGAAAGAGAAAATACATTTGGCAATCAATGGAAATATGAAGTTTCTACTTCAGCATCAGCCCTTCTGCTGCAACATGGGCTTTCCTCTTCCTCCCGCTACAAAGTTGTTAGCTCTTCTCACACTGCAGGGCAAATTACAGATAAAACTGTTTCAGACTTTTGCGCTTTAGATTTAGAGGGGGGCCAAAAAACCAAACCAACCAAAAAAACCCCAAGGCCTATTCTGAAGTCTTCCTATCTGGAAACTTTCGCAGAACTGAAGTCAATTTGATGATGTTCACATTTTTCTCCCACTCCACCCACACCTTCCATTATATTATTTGGCCTGTTTGCCCTCTCATAAACCACTCTATAGAACTGAACTAAACAATGACATCATTCTCCAATTAAAATTCATGATACATGAACTATATAGATATTTTTAATTACCTGTGTTGCACCTAGCAGCCTAGTCAAGATTGGGGCCATCTTCTTACTCAAATGAAATAATTGCCCCATCCTCAATACTGTRTGAGCTATGGCATGAGAATGCAAAGAGTTCCACATTTGTAATGGAGACACAACACAGGATCGAGACTGAGGCAAAAAATTAAATTTAAAATTTCAGTGTTTCCGTTTACCCTTACAAGAGTAAATGATGCTTACAATAGTGATAGATTCTAATCAGCATTATGACCAAAAAAAGTTAGGGATATGTGTAATAAATGCCCAAATTTTCAGAAAAAAACTCGTCAACTTCTAAGCAGTTTCCCATTCTCTTTACCTGGCAGTTTCACTAGCTTTCCCTGGAAATAGGAAAACTATCCCCCTTAGGAAAGGGAGGATAAGGAAGCACCTCCAAAGCCGGGTTGGGAATTTCTGGAATGGACTAGCAGGAGATGCTCTGTGGACTTGCATAAGCCACCCCCTTTCCTCATGACTAAGCAGATCTCCTCCATGCCATGCAGTCTGCACATTCAGGACAAAGTCTATGGATTCAAGTCTCCGAATCCCAAAGTCTACTCTGCTGGTTGATAATTAGCAATTTCAAAAACACGGAGCTGACGGAGCTCTGGGGATGTATGTCCAGGCAGAGCACACTGCATGGCTGCYGGGTGAACACACGTGTGTAGTTATGGACATGCTTCTAGGGGACRTGTGTGTGTAGGGAAGGGATTAACCCTATGTTAGGAACGGCTTCCTGCTTATCTCAGCGGTGCCAAAAGGCTCTATGTAATTTCTGATAACACGGGATAATAAATATTGGGTATTATCCCAATAGAAAATACATGGAGCACTCCACGGTAGCAAAGAACCTTGTTGGCTTATTGGAAGATGCAGTCTAGAAAATAAAAAATCCCAGCTAAAAAATCCCAGCTTCCTTGAGGTCAGTGGTGGATCTGCTGTTTCAGTAGGATCAGGTTTGCAGTGATAGAAGTTTAGTCCTCTGTACAGTTTACTTCCATGCAATTACTACAGAATTACTGTGTGTCTGTGGGTTTAGCAGGCTCAAAATTGAGGGTCCGGCTCTAAAAGAATTGCTGGTGAGACCAAATGGCTGAAATTAAATAACCATGAGTATATATTATAGCTAAAGTCCTGCATATTTTTCTTTCAAACTCGCAAGAAATGCCAGTGTAACTGAAGGAGTGTATTTATCTGCCTCTTTTACTGGAATTTATGTGATCAATTTCTTAGCATACTTCAACTCCRAAAGTAACGCCAGTATTTTGGTACAGATATTGCAGTTGGGATTAGTTTATTCCAGACTTCAAATTAGKCATGAGTTCTACTTTTGGTCTTCTAACAGCTATTATTACACTATTATAAAATAGTCTACTTCGTACTGCTTTGCGGGTTGTTGGAATTTCTTGAGCTCCATGGGGATTGATGTCTTTCCTCTCTATCACAGATCAGA